CCTTAAAACAAGCCAATGATCTGCTAAGAACACCTTAAACAAGCTAATGATCTGCCAAGAACTCCTTAAAACATAGACAATGATCGGCCAAAACTCCTTAAAACATAGACAATGATCGGCCAAAAACTCCTTTAAAGAAGCCAATGATCTGCCAAGAACTCCTTAAAACAAACCAATGATCTGCCAAGAACTCCTTAAAACATAGACAATGATCTGCCAAGAATTCCTTAAGACAAACCAATGATCGGCCAAGAACTCCTTAAAACAAACCAATGATCTGCTAAGAACACCTTAAAGAAGCTAATGATCTGCCAAGAACTCCTTTAAAGAAGCTAATGATCTGCCAAGAACTCCTTAAAACAAACCAATGATCGGCCAAGAACTCCTTAAAACAAACCAATGATCTGCCAAGAATTCCTTAAAACAAGCCAATGATTTGTCAAGAATTCCTTAAATCAAGTCAATGATCTGCCAAGAACTCCTTAAAACATAGACAATGATCGGCCAAAAACTCCTTTAAAGAAGCCAATGATCTGCCAAGAACTTCTTAAAACAAACCAATGATCGGCCAAGAATTCCTTAAAACATAGACAATGATCTGCAAAGAATTCCTTAAATCAAGTGAATTATCTGCCAAGAACTTCTTAAAACATAGACAATGATCTGCAAAGAACTTCTTAAAACAAGTCATTAAAGAGTTCTGAAAAAGTAAAAAGAGAACACAAGATAGACAATGAGTTTGAATTTAAACGGTTATAATAAATGATGATATCTTTTTCGAATGTTTTAAGTCATTAAAAAAGAACTTTGACAAAAGGAAATATCGGTTAGACACATGGGTTGGAACTTAAAGGGCCGTGTTAAAATGACGATAAACTTTTCACGTGTTTGTTTTGTTGTTATTCAAAGTGTGCATTTTGTATGACAAAGAATCGTAGGATCCATCTATTAGAAAATCAAAAACATCATACATATTGCTGCTATCTTTGTTCTGCTCGTCATATTTTACACGTTGCTTGAAGCTATAGTCCATACATTTCCAAGTGTTATAGAAATTTGGATCTGATCCAAGAAAGACACACACACACACGTACAAAAAAATATGGATTACCACATCTTTGAATGTACACATAATACAGCTTTATCTGTGTTTTTTGTTATGGACTTCAAGAACTTTTGATTTGACCCTTGGGTCCATGGGGAGATGCATACAAGTTTTCAATTTTGGGTTTTGCGATTTTTATATACTTTTCTGTCTTGTTTTCTTTTCTTCTCTCATTTAAAAGGCATTGAATTTAAAAAGTGTATTCAATAACTTATTGGTTTGTTTCGGAATATTTGGGCAAAGCTACACAAGATCTATCTGCGCCAACTGCCCTTAGTTTTCAAATGATAGACGAATAGAATTACGAATGTTAGTCAACATCATCCACCGCCTACTTTTGGGCTACTCTAATCCAATAGGAAGGTTTGACTGTCAACCATTTAACGCACTCCCGGTCACAAAGTGCTGATCACGTTTTTTCCGGCTATGGGACACGAACCACGGACCCTCGGATCCACAGTCCATCACGCTTACCGTCCCAATAGCTTATTGGCTTGTCTAGTTTATATTTTTCAATGCTGTAAACGTTATGTTAAGTAATTTCTTTATTATAACGTCCTCAAACGGAGAAAAGCGACATTTTTGTAGTACTGATAGCCACTATAAGTACTTATCAAAGTTATAAAATAATATATAACAATAGTATTATAATAATAATAATAGGGCTCATCAGGTCAGGTGGGATATTGCAAACATAGTCAAGACTCTATCTATTAATCATCAAATACTTGAGAATCTACTACATCTTTGGTTAATTTTGAAGTTCGACATCTCTCCGATCATTCAAAGGCCACTGCGCATGAGTAGTGAGTTTTTTTTAAGATCGATAAGTCTTATAATGTTGAGGATCTAAAATGATTATATGCAAAATTCAAGTTAACATATGATCTGTTACTTAATATATATGTTATATTATTTTTTATATAAAGTATATATCAACATTTATAATATGGCATGTCTGCCTTGTTACATCAAAACTTTTGCAGTGCACAATTGTAATTGTTACGTCAGTTCCATATCTTTATCCAAAACTATATAGCCACTTTTGAGGAACCAGTTGAACGAAATTTTCCACACAGTGTTATTATTATTATTATTATTAGGCGCTTTCATTCCTAAATAAAATGTTAATAATATTTATCGTCACAATCAGTTACTTGCGGCTGTAACATTTGTAGGATTTTTGTCCCCAACCGAGTCCCCAAGACATGTGATACACTTTTTGCATGTTCTCTGTTCAACTGAGTAAAACTTACTACAATCCTCATAAGTCGTAATTATACGTAACATACACCAGGTGAGTAGCAGATTTCATTCTGTGAATGTACATCTGAGAAACAGAGATAAAAAAAGATGTCAGTATAATCTACCGTTCCATACTTATTGACGTTCACAAATCAGTTCATTATCTAAATGCTTTCTCTGGCTTCTTTCTAACGCCGCTGGATGTTTATCTGTTACTTCTAGGTTTGTGAAAGTTGTAAAAACCAAATTGCCAAAATGCTAGAAGAAGAAATGAGACCCTAAAGTACGCAAACACGTGACTTGATCCGGAGATCTTTCTTAATTTGAGAGCAATGGAATCCATCTTACTTAGATCATTCCTACTGATATGTGCACTAGGTGATAAACCCCTCACGTGGTGGTTAGCTGTCTTGCAGGAGGTAAAAGAAAGTTCCTTTACTGATGTTACCAGAAACCTTCTGGCTGTGTACTGTCATACCGATTATCCACGTTTCCGAGCTACACCATACGATTTTTT